GCTCCCTCGGCGCCAGCGCACGGAGCTGCCACTGCCTGGATTAGCCCCCTCCAAGCTCCGGGAACAGCCGCGCTCTCCCGCGGTTCCCTGGAGAACCATCAGCACCGCGGTGACCCGTGACCTGTTGTCCCCGGGGAGGGGCTGCTCAGCACCCGAGCAGCGTGTGGCCACAGCAGGACAAGGGGACTGCGGTGGGAGTGCCACAGGCTGCTGAATTTGTCTCTTCTTTCAGAACCAAAGCACCAGCAGGCCCTGTGGGCAAGGCTGTGCTTTACTCAGCTCTGCTCTTCGCTGGCATCTCGTCTACAGCTCACAAATCCCCCAAGCCTGTGCTCAAACCCCTGTGCTGTGTTGCTATTCCATCAAGCAAACCTTACATGGGCGTTAAAGAGCAGTAACTTGAATAACTCAGAACAGACAAAACAGGGAGGGGGTGTAGTCACAGCTTTAAATACATTTATTAGTAAGATATCAGCTCCCTGCAGCACTCCTGAAGCCAAATCCACCACAGCCTCCCCGCTGAAGCTGCTCTGGAAGCACCTGCGCCCATCACGCAGCCTTGGCTCGCTCCCTGCTCACAGGTAGGGCTGGTCCTTGGAAATCTCCCACTTCCTAAGTGGTGGTCCTGGTGTCACTGCTTTTTTCTGTGCTGTTGTCACTGCAGAGTCTGAACTGCGATAGAGGAAGGAAGAGAGAGGAGAGGCTTTAGTAACTCTATGGAAATCACACTCAGGTTTAATCAGTCCATGCTGGAGTACTCTTGGAGGGGTCTGTTAGTCACAGTCCTGAAATGGTTTGGGTTGGAAGGGACACTGAAGATGTCCATGGGCAGGGACACCTTCCACTAGCCCAGGTTGCTCCAAGCCCTACCCAACCTAGTCCTGGACACTTCCAGGGATGGGGCAGCCACAGCTGCTCTGGAAAAGCTGTGCCGGGGCCTCACCACCCTCACAGGGAAGAATTCCTTCCCAATATCCCATCTATCCCTGCCCTCTGGCACTGGGAAGCCATTCCCCCTTGTCCTGTCCCTCCATCCCTTGTCCAGAGTGCCTCTCCAGCTCTCCTGGAGCCCCTTTAGGCATTGGAAGGGGGTCTCAGGTCTCCCCAGAGCCTTTTCTTCTGCAGGTGAACACCCCCAGCTCTCCCACCTGTCTCCAGAGCAGAGGGGCTCCAGCCTTTGATGCATCATCGTGGCCTTCTCTGGGCTTGCTTCAATATATCTACATCTTTCTTGGATGCCCCAGAGCTGGACATAGGTGCTCCAGAGCACAGTAACTGAACTTCCTGCCACCTCATTTATTCGCAAACAGACACCGACACAAACAATTAGTTGTTCCACGTTCTTCTACCAACCTGGGTAACTCTGCACCGCACTCCTGGTGTAAATGAGGGCTGAGCCCGCTCAGCAGCGACAGCACCGCCCGCGCCAGACCTACCTGCCGGGTTGTGCCCCTGCAGCCAGAGTCTTCTGCGCCGCCACCACCACCACGGGCGGCAGCGACTCGCGGCGCCCGTCCCGGCCGCAGTAATAGTTATCGGCGAACTTGTGGCTGGGGCCCACCGGGAGCCGCGGCGGCGGCTGGGTCCTGGGCAGAGAGCATTTCGAGCATCAGCAGCGGCGCCCCGGCTCCGCTCCGCGCCCCGCCCGCCGCCCGGCCCGGCCCCGGCACCTCTTGGCGATCTCCCCGTAGCGCAGCGCCAGCTTCTCCTGGAGGTTCCGCTGCAAGGCAAGGCAAGGCCGGAGCGGCTCAGGCGGGGCGGCCGCCGCCCTGCGCCGGGGGCTCCGCGGAGCCGGTGGCGCAGCGCAGCGCCCCGCGGGGCAGGGGCTGCTCTCGGCCCCCCGGGCCCGGCGCTGTGCTCACCCCCGCCAGGAAGTTTCGGAGCTTTTGGATGATTCCCGTCGCCGTCGCCATCTTGGGCCGCCGTGAAGGGCAGCGCCGCGGGGGACGCCGGGAGCGCGAGCGCGCGAGGTGCGCTGGGTCTCGCGAGACTCGGCGCTATATAAAGCGGCGCGGGGAGGCACCGCCCTTTTCTGCGCGGAGCCGCCATGGACACGAGCCGCGTGCAGCCCATCAAGCTGGCCAGGGTGGGTGTGAGGGGCATCGGGGGGCCCGGGGTGGGTGTGCGGAGCTTCGGGGGGCTCAGGGGGGCCGCGCTGACCCTCCGCTCTGTCCCCGCAGGTCACCAAGGTGCTGGGCCGGACCGGGTCCCAGGGGCAGTGCACGCAGGTGAGCGGGCCGGGCCGGGCCGGGCGGGTGCGGGAGCCGGGCCCGGCCGGGCTGACGCGGTGCCGCCCCCGCAGGTGCGCGTTGAGTTCATGGACGACACGAGCCGCTCCATCATCCGCAACGTGAAGGGCCCGGTGCGAGAGGGGGACGTTCTCACCCTGCTGGAGTCGGAGCGCGAGGCCCGGCGGCTGCGCTGAGCGGGACCTGCCCGAGCGCCCGTCCCTGGGCCGCCCATCGGGGGATGGAGCCTGTCCACCGTCCCTGCATCGTCCGTCGGGGGATGGAGCCTGGCGGGTGGGCAGGAGCGTGATGGTGTTGTCACTGCAATAAAGGGTTTTTCCAGTAGCCCCGTGCTCGGGTCTCACTCAGCGAGCGCCTGGGAGCTCTGTCTCATACCTGAGCACCTGCTGCTTTCCTCGGGCTCAGCAGGGACAGCAGCACGCCCTGCTTGCTCCTGGGGTTGCACGTAATGCATTCGTTGTAATATCATTGCGTTGTTGCATCTTTATTGACCTGTCACAACAAAAATAACCATGTTTTGATTACAGCAGCCTTAACCCTGACCTTCCTGCTAAGCGGTTTTCTCTGTAATAGTGAAGTGGCGTCGGAAACTTACGGGACCTCAGTGGAATTTAATCACAAGTTGGAAATCAAGCTTGGTACCCGCTTGCAAAGCAACAGCCTGCTGCTTCTGTCTGTCTGTCCTCAGTAAGCTGTTCTCTGAATGCTGCTATAAATACACCTACTTGCTGTCCTTCTGTCAGTCACATGCAGAGAGCAAGTGCTTGTCTCTCCCCTTTGATTTAGACTCCTCTACCTCACTTTCTTCAGCTTTCCCCTCCACCACAAGATCAGCTAGCAAGATGTATTGCTTTAGGATATTACATAAAGCAAAAGTATGGCTGAAAAGTTTAGGAATGAGCCTGAAAACTATCCTGGTTCAAGGGCTGGTTTTTAAGGACTGGTGTTTTCTGTCAGCTTTCCTGGTTTGTGGTGTGTTTAAGCCAAGTCAAGTCTGCAGCCCCTGGTCTGTGATCTCTGATATGAGTGTTCTTTGTCCTGCAGTGTCCTGAGCTTGACTGAGGCAGTTCAGTGGTAGTGTGACTGAGAGTCTGGGTGTCCTAAAGCTGAGCAGAGCACTGCTGGGACAGATGTGCAAATCACTAAACTTGAGCAGACAATTATGATTGCTGTAGGGCTGGTGTTTAAGAGTATTTGTGGGATTTTTCCCAGGTGTTAGTTGTGCCCTGGGCAGCCTGAGGTGAATTTTGTGCCCTGGAGAAAGCCCTTGTCAACGTGCTCATGGTGTTGCTTAATGTGGTTCTTGACTTTTTTGGGGTTGTTTCAGTTTTAGAGCATCACACAAGGCTGTGCTCCCTGGTTTGTGGGACACAGCAGAGCTCAGAACTGGCCCTGAGTGCCAGAAGTCCTCAGAGTTTACATCTCTGGCTGCTGTTTGTTCCCTCACAGCCTCAGCAGTGGCCCCTGCCAGCCCTGACTGCTGGGTGACTGGGACAGGAGCCACCAGCTGTGAGTTGCAGCCAGACAGAGGGAAACCTTGTAGTGGGGGTGGCTCAGGGCTGTATCCCTGTGGGGTCAGCCTGGTCCCTGTCCACGGGAGGAGGGAGGTGATTTGCATCCCCACACTCAGTGTGGTGATTGCCCTTAATGATGCAGCACCACAGAGAACCAGGGGTGGTGAAGGGCTGTGGCTGGTCCCTTGTCCCGCTTGTTCCTGCAGAGTGAAAGGGGCAAAGACACCACTGCACCTGCCTGGGATGGTTCTGTGGGAGGAAAACCAGACTGAGGGGTGTAGTCAGTGCATAAACTTGAAGGGAATGACTTGGAATGTGGGGGCTGTGCCTCCACTGCAGCTCTCGGGGGCTTTATCATGACAAGGAGGCAGGACAGGAGACCACTGGTCGTCACTGTAATATTTCAAAATAACTTTAAATTTTATTTATATCTTAAAAATAAACACCAGTATTAAAATAGCAGTAAACAGAGTAGTGTATTAGAGAGTGGCAGTGAGCGCTGTGTATAACTCCAGTGCAAAGCTGAGACGGGCCCATGAAGAGGGCAGCAGGGTGGTGCCCAGAGTGAGTTTGGGGGGGGATGTTTTCCAGCTCAGAGCAGGCCTGGCAGGGGCAGAAGTTAGGGGGAGGCTGGGCCAAGGAGCAGGAATGGGGGCTGTGACAGGTTACCTTTGTGAAGGGCTCAGAGCAGAGCTGCTTTCCCATGCAAAACCCTTTTTCCTCCTGGTCCTTATCCTTACCCTGTTCCCACCCCACACAGTACTCACACACTTGCAAAGACACACATGTTCTCTGACATACGTGTTCCCCTCCACAGGCCCTGCCTGTGTGCTCTGAGCTCTTCTGGCCCATCTGTTTTTCCTGGCACTGTCCTCAGCTCTCTCCTCCCCTTTAGGGATGGAAAGTGGGCAGAGAGGGACTGGGCTGTGGGCTCTGGCTGTTTGCATAGTCTGTGGGACTGGTTAAATGGGGAAATGTTTAGGAGGCAATTGCTTTCTTTCCTTTGGGAGAAGGACCCCATGTGGGGTATTAGCTGGGCAGGCTCAGTCCCCAAACACATCCTTGGCCCTAAGCCCCTTCTGTCACTTGGCTGCAGCCCCAACTGCTCAGAGGTTTTGCTCCCATTGAACAAATCAAATCCTGAGTGATTTCATGTGGAACTCCATCCTTTGGCCAAGCAATATAATTTTTTTGCTTTACGTGCATGTGCTAGAAAAAAGAAAAAAAAACCAAACAGATTTCAGCCAGGAAAGGAAATGGCAGAAAAGAAGGGCAGCAAGTATGTCAGTCTGGAAGTGCTCCCAGCCCACATTGACCAGCTGGTGTCCCCTCTCCCAACGTCCTGCACAGCACTGTGACCCTGCTCAGGAGTGTCACTCGCCCTCCTGGCTCTGCGTCACCAGCACTGCTGCCTTCTCAGGGCTGCCAGAGAGCACAAACCAGGGGCTGGTTCTGCTGGGTTTGTTCTCTGCTGTTCCCTCCTTGCAGAGGGCTCGGAGGCAGTGCAGCTCTGGTGGTCATGGCAGGGAGCAGACGGGATGGGGTGACTTCTGCTCCCTGCGTGTCCCATCCCGAGGTCACTTGATGCTTGGCTCCTGTCACTTGGTGCAGCGAGGTGGCCACGTGTGGGTGGAGATGGGCAAGGGAGGCTCAGGGACAGCGCTAGTGACAGGACTGAAGCTGCAGAGAGCAATTTGGCACAGAGGGGTGGCAGGCGAGGGGACAGGAATCACAGCCCAGTGCTGATGGTGGCCGCTGGCTGGATCCCAAGGTCACTCTAATTTGGTTTCTTTGGACTCCCAGGGCTCTTCGTGGCTGTCGGTGATGCCGCCTGCTGCAGAGAGAGCAGTCACAAAATGTCACCAGAAACCCTCCAGTGACTCCTGGTCCGGGCCAGCAGGGCTATTCTGAGCATGTGGCACCTGGAATGCTCTGCTCTTGCTCCTGCAGCCCCTTCCTGGAGAGCCTCACCCGTGCCACGTCCCCTCCCCTGGGGCGACCTGCCCACCTGAGTGTGGGATGTGGCAGGAGCTGGGGCAGTGGTGTGGTACTCACAGGCAGCTGAGCCTTCGTGCCGTTGAGGTGGGCGTAGAGGAGCGCGGCGATGTCGCTGTGTCCGGCCTCCAGCGCGATGGCCACGGCGTTGTTACCATCCTGAAAAGGAAGGGAGAGCACGTGGGAAGGGGTGTGGGGACAGGACACGCCGTGGGGCTGCCCAGGCCCGGCGGCAGAGCCTTACACTGTCCACGATGGAGACGTTGCAGGCGGGCTGAGCCAGCAGCAGCTTCACGGTCTCGGCGCGGCCGTGCTCGCAGGCGCACATCAGCGCCGTGGAGCCCTCCTCGTCCTGCAGGTTCACGTCGGCCCCACAGGCCAGCAGGGCCTCCACCATCTCCTGCCGGCCGTGGCTCACAGCCAGCATCAGCGCAGTCTGGCCAGCCTGTGGGGAAGGGACACTGCCAGGCCACCCCTGCCCCTGCTGTGCCACCCGCTTGTGCCCCCTGCCCTGCAGGGCTGCTGCTGAGAGCCCTGTGCCAGCCAAAAGGAGCTCCTAAGGGGATGCCCTCCCCATGTGCTGACCCCTCCAGGTTTTAGAGCCACGGTCCTGCCCTTGGAGGAGCCAAGTGTGGCTCTGGCAGCTGCTTGGGGGTGTGGGCAGAGGGGTGGGATGTGGTGGCCCCCAGCCCGTGCCAACCTGGCTGGCCTTGGCGTTGACGTTGCCCATGCTGAAAAGCCTCCGGACCACGTTCATGTCATCCTCCTGCTCGACAGCCGCCAGCGCCGCCAGCATGAGGGCAGTGTACCCAGCCTTGTTCTGGTGGTCCACGTTACAGATCCCTGCAGGGGTTGGCAGAGGGGGCTCAGGATGCTGGAGGGCTGGTGGGAGACATGAACCAAGCCATGTGCCTGGCTCCCGCCCTGCCTGGGTGCTGTAAGCCATCCCACAGCCCCGTGGGCACAGAACTGCTGATGGGTTCCCCCCTTGAAATCCAGGCTCTCACCCCCCTACCCATGCATGGGCACAGCCCCGGGCAGTTCTCCCTGCCCCTCTGCTCCAGCACCTTCCCCCTGTGCCTGGCAGGCCACGTGGGATGTGGCCTGGGGGTGGGGGGCACTGACCCGTGTCCAGCAGCAGCCGCACGATGTGGAAGTTGGAGTGGGAGACGCTGTAGTGCAGGGCTGTGTTGCCGTTCCCATCTGCCAG